TTTTGTTTTGTTTTGTTTTCTTATGAAAAGCTAAATAAAGCAAAAATATTGCTGGCAATTTTTGACTGTGCAACTTTAGAAATGGCACCCCATAATGAACGAGAAGACAAATTCTAGAATAAAACACCTGATAAAGTGACTCAAAAGAAGGATTGTTGAGAAGAACTTATATTTCATAATATCCTTCTAAAATAAATTATCAGTCTAGCTATCAAAGTAAAGCATTGCCCTTAATAAAGGTGAGTGAGAGTCAAATGAATTGACTGAATCTATCATTAAAAAGCAGAGCATGAATGCAGCAGTATACTCCAAGCAAATCTTTGCAAAATTGATGCTACAGAGTTTTGGTAGCTCACAGCATTGGTTTCTACTCATGTAGAATACCAATGTTTGACTAAGGCTTGGATTGTGATTAAAACTAGATTAGTTTTCTAGATTACTAGGCACTGCATTAAGCAGACGTAAACTCTGCACTCACTCTTTCATGATTTAAGATAAATCCCTAAAATCTTCATTTAAATTCAGTTTAACACAGAAATTCAAGAGGTTGAGAAATACCTAATCTGAGCTCATTGAAATCCATATTGTTTGGACCTAAAGGGCTTTTTGAAAATTCTGACTATTTTCTTTGCAATTTATAAGTAGCCTTGTACTGAAAGTAATATACATTTGTAATATTTTCTTTAGGGCCAGATATCTCTACCCTATTGTGTTTGTTATACAATATTTTGCTCACCATGCAGTTTAGTCATCATCATTTTCATGTCTCCCAAACAACCAACCATGCCCTTTATGACATGCATAGATATTAATAGTGTTAACAGTGTCTTGCATATCATTTATTAGTCCCATACTGATGTGAGTGACAGCGACATTATCCAAGAACAATGTGTTAGATGGTTAGACTCTCCTCTCTCGGGTTTATGGAGGACATCATAGCTTTCCCATTGGAACATTCACAAGCTATCATAACAAAATAAAACAATTTTTTTTAAAAAAGCAAAGGAAGCTACGATTTTCATTCCATGAAACCCCACCCTCCTCCCTGCCGAGGGGCGGCAGAGGGTATCAACATGAGCTATCCACCTACCGTAGAGCAGGGGTCCACCACAGTCAAGAAACACGAGGCACACAAGACAAACACAAGGCGGGAAACAAAAACAAAGGAGGAAGAGCAGAGAGAGGAAGAGATTCAACTCACAAAACACCAAACACGTGACAAAAAGAGAGGTGATCAACATCACAGCTGCACTCATGAGGAGAAATGACACACTCAGGCTGAGGGCGGTGAACGAACAGACCGCTCAATTAAAGTTTGAAGCTCGGGCTTCCCACCTTCGTCCTTTTGCTTCAGAATCTTTTAGGACTCTGAACACACGGTGCTCATTAGTCTTTGCCACCTCGTAACAGCGTGCGTCATTTTTCAAAACAGGCCACAATGGATTATGTCACACATTTAAACAAACACAGTTACATCAAATAAAAGGAGGGAAAGAAAGCTCTCCTTGTGTCCTCTACAGCCAGGGCTAAAAGAGCTGCTGGTGAAAGATCAAACTTTGTTAGCCATCATTGAATCTGAGGAAGAGATGTTCAAAAATTGTGGTAAAAACAGAATTGTGTAGCATTATTTTTAAAAAAGGAGAGGTCAGATTTCCACTAAAACGTGCTGGTGTTCAGACTTTTAGGGCATGATTAATCATACCTCCCCTCCCTGCATGTTCTTCATGTTGAAGCCATCCTTGCCCTTCTTTCCTTTTTTGTTCTTCTTTTTCTTGCAGCAGCATTTTTTGATGATGCAGAAGCAGCACGTGAGGACGAGCAACGCAGCCACCACAGCAATGGCGATCAAAGCCCATGGAGGAACTGTCAGTGTAAAAAAAAAATGAACACATTAACATTGATACCACAGAGGTTTGGCAAAGAGTTCTTCATTTCACTGCAGAGATACTCACGAGGGATCTTATCAATTTCATTCAAGAACTTGCTTTTGATCTCCTCAAACATGTCATTCTTGCTGATTTCTGTGTTGTTGGAGCCRGAAGTGTCCGGGGCGGAGGTGGACATCGAAGGAGGGGAGGGAGCCATGGTCACAGTGGTGACGCTGGTGGGCTCAGCAGCCGCGACGGCCTGAGGACCTTTGAACAAGTTGAACTTCATTGTCAAAGACTAGAGGGTTGGTCCCTGAAGCACAAGAGAAACAAAGAACAATTTTGTAAATCTATAAAAGACCCTCAATGAACAGAATCTGGTGCTCACTGAACTTTGCTGATGAGACAAGATCAAGTTCAAAGTRTTCAGTTTAACAAAAGAAGGAAAATATGCCTCTTAGTGTCATTATGGAGTAAACTGCAAAAATATGTTTAATTTTTGTAAGCTTGTTTGTCACCACAAGGCAAGCAGTCTAGCCTTGACTGATTCAGACTTTCAGATTCCAAATCCTTGTTTCACTCTCCCTCTATCCAGTCTACACTTACTAGGTTAAGGATTGTCTTTTCTAAGTGCAGAAGTGAATATTGATCTTCACCYTCACTTAGACTGCATCCTTGGAAATCTGGTAAATGGATTTTTTTGTCTGTGATGGACTGGCGATCTGTCCACCTCTCATGCATCGACTGTTGGAAAAAGATTGCAGATACCAAAGACCCCGGTTAAGATCAAGGGGTTGAAGGTGGATGGATGGATGGATGGATGGATGGATGGATGGATGGATGGATGGATGGATGGATGGATGGACGGACAAACAAATGGACAGATGGTTGGATTTACGGGTGGATGGATAGATGGCCCAGTTTTTAATGGTATCCTTTTATCAAAAAGAAAAAATAATTAGGTCCTCTGTATGGGTTCTTCTTTAGTGAAACGTTTCGTCTCTCCTCCAAGAGACTTCTTCAGTCTGAGAGTTTCAGGTGAACTCAGCCTTAGAAGCACTGCCTCTACCTGGACAAACAGGTTAGTCACATGCAAAAGAGGGCCATCGCCTAACAATAGGCTTGATTGGCTCTATTGTTCAGGGTGTGCTCCATCGCCTGACTTACTGGTTTGGATGTTTCGGCTGTGATTATTTGGTGTTGTGTTATGTGTATGTAGTGAGTGCAAGCTGGGTTCAATGTCCCCTTATTTTTGTCCCTCTTTCCCTCTTTGTGTTGGTATCATTGGGGCCCTGATTCACACCTTTTGCTCACAGGGGGCTGAGTCATACTTGCAATAACAGCTTTGTAAGAGGACAACTTGACACGAAGGCCTCCACCTCTGTTTAATGGTGGACGGTTTTTCTTCACAAAGATGGCTTCCTTTACTCCTCTCTCAAACCAACGTTCCTCTCTATCAAGGATGAGAACATCTTCATCCCTGAAAGAGTGGCCGCTGGCCTGTWGATGAGTGTAAACTGCAGAGTCCTGACCTGACGAAGGAGATCGTCTGTGCTGGCTCATTCTTTTGAACAGTGGCTGTTTTGTTTCCCCAATGTATGACTGATCACAGTCCTCCTGACACTTAACAGTACATGCTATATTACTTTGTTTTTGCCAGGGAACTGGATCTTTGGGGTGAACTAATCTTTGTTGTAACATAGTTTGGGGTTTGAAAGCCGCTGGGGTATCATGTTTAGAGAATAAATGTCTCAGTTTCTCTGAAACTCCCGCCACATATGGAATCCTTTTATGTTGTTGCTCCTTTGAAAAGCACCAGATCAAGAGGAGTTCCTTCCTTCTGTGAAACATTAAAGGTGAGAAGGTCTCAAAATGATCATGATCAGTAATTCCCTTTTTTTAAAAGAGATTCAACAGATGAGTTACAGTATCTGACTGATTCTAAATTATCAGTCAAAGCCTTGAAATCCAAAGCCACAGTGTGTTCTGAAAGTTAAAGGGGGATTATCTCTCCAACACTGAACACAATGATCTGCTGAGAGAAAAACCTACTTCTTAACAGAGTTATCCAAGAATTTAACAACTATTCTCTGTAAAACATGCAGGAAGTCAATGCAGCGCTCCACAAAAAAGAATTAAAGAATAACAGAAAAAAAGTAGACTTTCTATATCATCGAAATGCAATAACACCTGTGTGTTTAGTTTCACAGAGGATACCACTCAAGTTTCTGTTTTAAAGCAGATAAATATAAAGTGAGTTTGATTGCAGTGGGGATATCAGTAACACAAAATTGAGGTGTGCCATCTACATGTAACAAACACAGTCATAACACAACTTTGTTTATACTGATTCCCAGGCCACAAATCAATCATTTCTAACATGTTATCCTCAGCAGATTTTCCCACACTGTGGTGCAGGATTGGAGATCTAAAGCATGTTGTTCTGTACAGTAGAGGCCTCAGCTTTGGCCACACAGATCATTGTTGCTTAGCAATCCTGTCAGTTTCCATCAGCAGTTCAGAATTGCCCACAACCTGTATCTATATCTGAGGTGACCAGCCTGAAAAAGAACGGTGAGCATGGAGACGACACGACCACAGGCTGTTACGACTGAGATATTCTGCATGACTTAAGTTTTAGATACAAATATATACTGTATATCTTTCTTGTTGATCTGCCACCAAAACATCACCTCTGATGCATAAAATCAGCTGTGCAAAAGAAAAAAAAATGCAAGGAAAGACAACATGTGTTTTAATAATCTAGTGCAAAAACAGTTCAATTCATTTTAACTTCTGCTGCTTGCATTTTCTGGGTTTATTTATTACAAAGGGAATAAATCCAGTGAAACAACCTTATGTCCTCCTCTCTTGTTTTAGCCTAAATTTTTACCTGCGTGCCAGATAACACTGTGTCCATATCTGCTTTTGATATCTGCAGCTCATCACTGTCCAGCGACACTTGCAGAAAYGAAGGAAAAAAAGGCTCTGAAACATTCTCATTAACAAGTACACGCAGGGGTTTTGCTGTGACTGGATCCGTTGCTCACGGCTCTCAGTTACTTTAAAAGTGCGGAGAAGATGCTGTGAGATAACCTCGTGCATTTCCATGCAGCAATGTCAGAGGACGCTTTTTGTTTGTAAATCTGCAAAGATACCGAAGCAAGAACTCACCAGTCAGATGAGGTATCCCCCCCTGTGAGGTGACCCATTCATTGAGTGTTAGGGATACAGTTCCTCAGAGCTGTGGTTACAGAGTCTGAGCTCTCCCATTAGCAGAGACTGCAGTCTCCTCTCGATTCTCTCCACTGCAGCACTCCCCCCCACACTCCCCCCTCTCTTCCCCGTGCCTCACCATCTCTCCCCCCCATCTTCCACCCGCCCGTCACACACCTCACCATACTTCCACTCCACTCCCCCCCACACCCCAATGTACTCATGCATGCAAGCTCTTTACCTCTGTCTATGCATCRGTCTCTGTTTCCCCCCAGCCTCATTTGTGATGCTGCTCACACAGCTGATTGCAGCATGCCACTTCTGTCTCGTATCGGCGAGCAGTTGTGAAGGATCAATAGGCACAAGCTCCCAGCTTGAGGGGGTTTGCAGCAGTTTTGCACACAAAACAAGGAAGATATGAGCAAGAAAGGCTGGCGAACTCTTACGGGCCTGATGACTTTTGTGTAATTAGTTCAGCAAATGTTATCAAACTGAGCTCATTGGATCCTGACAACTGATAGCTACAATGAGATATAACTCTCTGTGGYGAGCCCTTCAATTATTATGAACAATAAAGTCACTGAAAGTGAGTTGACTAAAAAACATACAAAATTCATCCCTTAGRATCCTGATAAAACATTACCGTAAAACACATAAAACATGATACACATATAACAAAACCTCATCTCAGGCTGAAATCTAGAAATGTGGACCTAATTCTAGATTGTGATAGGAAAGCAGTCTCACACTTCCCCATAATTAAACGTTAATTAATGTCCAGCATCCCCARAGTCACTTTGTACATATTTGAGTCTGTTTCAGTCCAAACATTCAATCTATTTTCTGTCTTCCCTTTCTGAAAACCCTTCTCTGTTCCCTCTCTCCTCTGGGAAATTCCAAGCTGTGTGTTCAGGTTCAGCTGACAGCTGGCAGACACCTCTGAGGTAGCTTGCGTCATGTTAGATTACAGTGCAGTGTGCCCCATCTGCCAGAGGGGGGCAGTGATATCCCATAAAACTGCTGCATCACAGGGAAGTCTCTCTGCACTATACCTTCATGGAAAGGAGGAAAGTTGACATTTATCATCCATGTTTTGGCCCATGTATGCTTTCAACCTCTGACAGCATTTAGCAATGCTTTAAATGTAACAGCTCACTATGTTAGAATAAAACAACAAGCTGCAGCATCAGACTAAAAGTCTGAAGAACAACAGAGTAAGCATGGAATAACTGAAAAAAAAAACATGTTTCTCTTGCAGATGAACAGAAAGTTTGCATTTTATATTGTGGAACATTTTCAAACAAAATATCGTTTGAAATCCCGTTAATGATGCCACCAAGTTTGTGCCTTTTTAAGAGTTATCACTTTCTAAGATGCAGCAAGAAAGAAAGAAAAAAGAGGGAAAGAGCTTCCCACTATGAAAAAAAACAACAACAACAACAGCAAACAGCCGCTGTCACAGCCCTCATTTAACAAACCTGCACAGAGAACAGCCAGCAAGCGCCTTGCACTGATTTGTGCTGGGACGTTTGGTTGGGATGGCATGTCTCCTCTGAGGCAGCAGAAAGGCATGTGGAAAATACTGCACCTCTCACTGCTCCTGCAGGGAGTGCTGCAATGCAGGGGAGTACCAGAGAAAGACGAAGCTGTGAGGCAGCTCGTCCACAAGTCAGTCACTCCAACTCCTGCTAGAAACTGATTCTTCCTGCTATTTACTTGTTTCTGTCTTTTACTTCAATTGTTTTAACCTTTTWTTCAAGACATTTTTCTCTTTTTTCTATTTTTTTTATACTTTCACACTCACTGCGCCTGCACAGTGCACACTTCCATGCGCAGTTAAGTTAGTGGCTGTTCTCCAGTTGGTCATTACTGCAGCATAAACAGCAGTAAACAGAAGGCGCTTCTTTCAGTTGCCTTCATACTATAAGCTTATCGCTCACAGAGTTTAGGACAGTTTTCAGCTTGGCCACTGGTTTAGTGGAATGTTGGACAATATCAATGTTCAAGTGAAGAAACAAAAAGAAATAATGCCAAGGTTAGTGATGTGATTGTGTTCTTTTATAAATCCAACAGTTTATCTCCTAACATGGATTGTAT